AAACGACGAGTATGAAAGAGGAATAACCGTCAATAAGAAATACTGTAATATGCTAAGAGAATACTCTGATCTTTATATCAAACAAAATTATTTATTGTTCTCAAATGTATACGAGAACTTCCGAGATGTTTTTCTGGAAGCATATAAATTAGACCTATATGTTTGTACCATGAACCTGAGGGCTTAGCGTGGGACGCGTTGTAAAAATTGACTAAAAGTAAACTCCAAGTGATTAGATTATGGATATGTATCTTATTATCATAAAATGTAATAAGAGGTGTAATGTCCGATGTAACACACAACTATGCGGAAGGGAATGATAAATATCCACCAGATTACAATCCAACCAAATCATCAAACTTTCTAAAGTACTTAGAAGCAAATAACCTATATAGATGAGCCGCACCTCAACCGTTACACTATGCTGATTTCGAGTTTAGAGATCTTCCTGTGTCCTCATCAAAATATTATAAGTTACATCCTCGAAGTTGATGTTAAATATCCTGAAGAAATACACAATATGCTAATTGTTCATTTGCACCAATCAAATCAACCGAAAAAGTTCTCTTAACACCAGATCATAAAACAAATATGTTATTCATTATCTGGTCTTAAAGTTGATCAAGGATTACATAGACACAAACATAACACTGCAAAATCAAATTACAAATCCGCTTCAGCTGAAGAGCGTGATAGTAACATTGACTGGGAACAGAAAGAATAAAACAACCTCGGGACGTGTTTGTTTTACTCTTTTTGTTGCCAGTCAATATACGTAAAAATGCCATTGAAAAAAAAACAATTCGTTAGTAAACGATATTGTTTAAGGAACAACAATTAAAAACGTAATAAAAAGCCAAATCACAGAATTAGTTTCGGATCAAAAAGGCTTAAAATTAAAAACGAATTTTAAACTTCATATCCAGGAAATTGTTAAGTGAGGATTTGGTTTCAATTTATTGTAATAAAATAAATATAGTTGCTGACAAGCCAATATATTGCAAATCAGTTCTCTATTTTTCAAAGACCTTAATGTACGACTTTGGAAATTTAGTGGTTAGCTCAGTGATAACTGTGTTGTAATATTACCAAAAAACATACCTACAAAAGTTTAAACTCTCCCAAATGACACCTGATTTCCTTTCCTTATAAAGATGTTGCATCTTTGGCATCATAGGGAATGTGATCTCGCCACATTCGCTTTGATTTAAACTCCCCCTGATAATCGCTTTGATAGTCACAGTGGATAATTTATGACCTCGTGAAATATTTTAGCTTGAGTTTTAATTTTGGTAAACAAATAACACACAGTTAGCTGAATTTGGTGATGAAGGTGGACGCAAAATTAAAGTGGTCCCAAACGCCTAGTATGACTAGGATGATCGGGAGTCAAGTGTTTTCCGAGTTCGTCTGAAGTCTGCGATATTCTCCACGCTCTGGTGAATGAGCTCAGAGTTTTGTATTTTCAACTTTTCGATTTCAATTTGTTGCCTAGGCTAACGTACTCATAAATCCGAGAGAGAGGAGAAAAACAAAAATAAAGGAATAACACAACGCGGCTTTTTGTTCTTTTTTGTTCTTTTCTCAGTGTTTTGAAACTAAAAGCGTTCGCCAGCTAACCTAGGTTATTACTCTTATTTTGAAGCTACAGTACTCTTGATCACCACCAATCAGTCATGGCCAACCACCCTTTTGCGACGCGGTGTTTATATGCTTTTTTTTGTATTTTGCTACCCTACAGAAAAACGCAATGTGACATTTAGCTATACGAATTAGGGAACTAGACATCTATCTGAATTTTTTCTGGACTTCAAGTTTTCAAAAGTTATTTCTTTGTTGGCAATTCGTATTTTAATTTTCGAAAACAATTTCAGTTAGAACTCTATTTCCATAATCCGGATAGTGAAAATGTATACTGGGTTCTCCGGTAGGGTAAGAAAAATAATAAAATTGCAAGGCCATCTTGTTGCTGATTCAGTGATTCAGGCGGTTAATAAACAAACAATTCGCTGTCAGTGATACGAAAATGCCTGATCTTTGAGTAACGAATCTCGGTACAAAGGATGACAATTATAAATATTCTTAAAGCGTCAAATTGGTTTTAACGGAACATAATCCTCATTGAATTATTCGGTTTGTAGAGCTGTCCGTAGATTCTTTTTCTAAATGGAAGAAGGAAATTACTTCACGTGACCTTACATAACTTGACGCACACACTAATTGAACTTCCTCACTACTAAATTTTGAGAAAAAAGTGATGTCATCAGTTTTACTTCAGTTTCCCTGCATTATTAAACAATAGGTTCCTCTTCACCCTCTCAAACAATTGTTTTCTGTTTTCTAAACGAATTTACACTATCGCCCCTTAAATACTGCAGTCTCGCATTAGCTGAGTAGCTGTAATTTGTCTAAAGACCACATCTTTTGGGAAGAGCATTATTAAAGTATACACAGAACTCAAAGTCGCCCAATAAATTATGTGAATCCCACTCTGAAAACTATTTTCCCGTTGCTGTACAACATAGATCATCTCAGAATATCATGGTGAAATTAATTGTCCTCCACCTATCGCCGCGTACGGTGAGCGGTGTATGACGCCGAGCTTAATAATTTTGAGACAAACAAGTTTGCAAGATATAAATTCGTATTGTATCTGAATCGGTATTTTTATTTAATCTCAAAAACGGTTTTGGGGTCGAATTTAAAAAAAAATACTAAAATATGCATGTCATGGCAGCATTCTTGAGATAAAGACCGGGAATAGTCAAACGTAGCGGATTTTAGTTATTGAGGTATTGAAGGTTGAAAAGGCCGATGCGAAAACTGACTTTATCCCATCGGTCGGTGATTGCATGTTTGAACTCTAGATTTTTCTCATTTCTCAAAATAAAACACTAAATCTGTTTTTATGACGCTCTTGATGTGCGTTTATCATTTTGCAGTTACTCTTCACGGGTTTTTGCGTAAGAACTACAGGGTGAATCAGAGAGTGATGGCTGTTTGAAGGGACCGCATAAATTAGTTCGTGAACGTATTGAGGTAAACGTTCTTGAAAGATGACCAAAGAGCGTCCCTTTTGGATATAAAAATAACGCAAAGCTCCTAACTGCGAAGGTCGTCTGCTAAAAAAAAAGCGTCTGACTGGCGCAACAGCCGATAGACGGCAGCATGTGAAGTCGCAGGCGGTAAGATTGCCTAGATTGTAGAGAAGGTCCATCTGAAACCGTGAAGAGAGTTTGAACTTTAATGGCAGACATCTTGTGCGGCGATTGGTAGCTATTGTGCATGAGCTGCATTTTCGTGTGGTAAGAAGGGGAGCAGAAAAAAAGCTGGAAACGTCTGCAGACGTTCAACGCTTTCGTTACCTCCTCGCAGCTTGCATTGTAAAGCCGGTCCATAAACCACGTAACCCGGATCGCACAGTTGAAACGTCTCTCTAATACTACAGGCTGCCTGGAGGCGGTACGCTTGAACGGTGCTGCGGTGGCAGATAATAACAAGGCACATCGGCGTCCGGAGGGGGGCAGTAGCAACTGTCAGCACGTCAGTATTTTATTCTACCGATAAGACATAAAACAATTGAATAAAGCATCGAGTTTAACCATTTTTAAGTGTGTCTTGTTAAATACATTTTAATTAGCTTGAGATAACTGGGAAATTCAATATTAGTTATATTCATTGAATTCAAATGCAATATAATATACGTAAAATAAGTTATTTTACATCCATTTGAACGAGCTAATGATTTGAAAATCTAGCAAATCTGAAACCATTTTTTTTAAGCCTATATATTTTTTGCGTCATCTTTTATTGCTAGCAAGATAAGGTTTGGTTTATCTGTTAATAGGAAAAGAAAATGTAGTAATTTGTTTGTATGACCGCCATTAAAACATTAACCTTGTCAGTTGTTATTTGTGACTGCGTCAGCCCATAGGCATTGGTTTGGCCTACATTGTTGCGCGTTATCGTCACTTTCCTGATGACAACCGTTAATTTACATTTAAACTTATCGGTAAGTAAAAATGTGCCTAATGCAGTGGAAAAAGTGTTTTACTCCACAACAAACTTGCACTATTATAACGCATCTCTGACAAGGTTGAATTTTTCATCGCTGTATTATGAACAAAAATATAGAATATTTTACTGAAATATATAAACAAACCGCTATCTACATTGCTACCAATAAAAAGTCAAACTAATAAAATATGTATTTTTAAGAATATTTATTCCAAAGTTTCTTAGCTTTCGAAACGTTCATTCATTCAAATGTGCGAAACATATTTTAATTTGTACAGATATTATTAAACTTGTATTCATTACCAAAAGCTAAGTTTGAGACTTTTGATGATGTCAAGATAATTCAAATATCTTAAGTAGGGCACACGCAAGACTTCACCGAAATTCGCTAAAATTACCAAAGCCACACTGTTCCATACTTTTCTGATATTTCAGAATATAAGATTAATTCTTTTTAATAATTAGGCCTAGTATATATACTTTGATGGTGTATAAAAAATATAAGCGCCTCATTTTGAGAAATTAGAAAATGGCGAGCGGTCAAACAATGAATCCCCGAAAGGGGAGGAAAATGTCAATTTTCGTCTCGCCAACTTCAATGGTCAATACCTCAAAATAAATATGAAATTAACTAAGCTTGCCACTTGCGCTTTCATTACAAGAATGCGCCCAAAACAAAGAAACTTTAGTAAAAATTGATAAAAATCGACCCCAAAACGGTGCTTGAATTAAGATGAAGACCCCTAAATACATGTGTAAGAATAAAAGTTTCCAGGAGTTTTTGGAAAACATTATAATCGCAAAAAAGATTAAATAAAGCGATATTTTTGCGGGGTTGCAAGAACTGGTGGCAAAAAGTATTTTTGTTAGGCATATATTTTTAACATACCGGATAAATATTACTGTATTTGGGCATAATGCCTGTAAGTTAAAATCATATCTCTATATTTTGGTAAGATGACATAAAGGAACAAAATACGCACCTTGTACATTTGCAAAAGCAGGGGAGTAATAATCAAGGTCATCTGCGAGTATTAACCTGCAATGTTATGGACAGTGTTAGGACGTAGTAGATTACTTAAACGGTACTGTGTCTCACGAGTAGTGTTTAGTGCTAGAGAACGAACTTGAGGGAACGAGCAACTTTCTAAGATCTTCTCGTGTGCGAGTGCTTGTAGGAATGAAACGTATTCGCAAAGCTATTGTCTTACGGCTGTGCCACTGGTCGCACTAGGGACAATATTTTACATACTCTTTCACGCCAAAAGTGAAACCGTTCAAGCTGCGAGTAATAAAACAATATCTGCTGCATTTAAATCAATTTCGGCATAATTTTTATTTTATTCTGAATAAGCAAAGTTCCTGAATTCCAGTTGATTAGCTATTCGAAAAGATTGTTGACCGTCAATAAAATATCAAACTAGTAAGAACTAAGGAAATAGCTCATTTTCAGATAGATAATTTGTGTTTTAACTAGGCCTCCGTTTTTTTCGGTAAATACTAATATACACCGAAAAAATAACCCAGGAGGCGGTTTTCTCAATAACAAAAAAAACCCGACCAACCCCGCATCAAAGCTGGTTTTTAATTAGAAAAAAAAACAAAGCTTCAAGAGAAGTAAATGTTTTATCTAATGCTAAACCTTTGGTAAATGGGAGGTGTAACGAATTTCTAAATTTGAACAATTTATTGGTACACTCAGTCACTGTGAAAAACGTATACAGCACAAAAAGGTTTTATTTTCCTAAGTGCTCTAGTTAAAAAAAAAAACAATCAAATTGAAGGGCAGAGTACCCCTTCAATCAAAACGCCAGCCACAGAAGCCTTTCTTCAAGTGACGTAAAAAGGTACCAGGTGGTTTCCAGTCGGGTTTTGCTTTAAAGACCCCAGCGGTTCCACCGCGATTGTCGACTTCTGAAAGGCTTGCAAACGCGCTCTTAAACAGGCATCGACTCGAAATTCTCTATTAAATTCACCTGAGGCCGCTTTTGCGCTTCAGCCGACCTCGGCTCCACTGGACGATATACTCGGCTATTTTCACGAGAATCTCAAGGTAGCTCCCGAGCAACATTGAGAAGGTTTTCGAAGCAAGTTTGGGATGTAGTTTTCGCCGACGAGTCGTTCGCGGAATTTGTGAACATCCTCTTAAAAGCAAAATTTCGACTCTGTTGCAACGAAGACGACAGCCGATCGATTAATATGCGAAGACGGAGTTTCAGGACTCGCCTGAACTCGCTCAAACATTTCGACCGGTGCACCTTTCTTGCGTGGTAATGCTTTATGCGAGGGACCGTTGAGAGCATGCTCCAGTCCGTGCTTGTGGAGAACGCGAATAATCAGGGAATGACTGCCACTCTCATCGAGGCTTCAACTCCTCGTCGATCAGCAATTTTAAGGTGCCGGTACGTTCTAAGTTGTTACTGGGGACCTTGTGAACTTGTTGCAGAAGACAGTGTGCCGGGTTGTGGAGCGACTTCCTCGGCTCCTCGCACGTGCTCTCTTCGATCGCCAGGTGAAATGACCGGATGACATAAAACCTGTTAATACTGCAGATTGGGCGAGTTGGTAAGGTATCATAGCGAACCAGCACACAAATAGACAGTTACTCAAAATCCCAACACACAGAAAAATACGCTCACACAGCGCTGAATCAGTTGATAGTTCAGCGCTGTGTGAGTGTATTTTTTTGTGTGTTGGGATTTTTAGTAACTTTCTACCTGTGCGCTGGTTCATAATAATGACCGGATGACGCGACAAACTTCAACGCAGCCATGCGTGACTTCTACGAAAGGAAGTTTTCATGCGTTATACTTCGTGCAATGATTGCACTTGCGCCAGGATGACACGTCCTGACGGTCTCCATGGACGTTTTCAGCCACCTAGAAGGATACTTTTCCTTTATCATGAAGGTAAGTAACTTTATAGTTGGTGTGGCTCGTAGTTCCAAATCTATATAATCATCACGCTGAGGTACTCTAGCGAATGTATGAAGTCGGGCGTAATTAATCAAAACCTATGAACAAATTTGTGTCTTGCCACAATTTTCATAGCAGAGCGTGTAAATCGCGCGCCGGGTCTTGAAAGAGCAGACAAATACGTGTAAATAAAACAAAGTGCCGATTGGGTTCGCCAGCACAATTATAGTAGCGGCCAGAGCGCCACCTCCTTGTAAGAATGATAGAAATTGCATTTCATGTTTGTTGTCCATTAGTACAGCATTCGCTTATGCTACACGAACCTTTTGAAGATGATATACTGGGATCCTCGATATGAAGTAGACTTAAAAAATAGTAACAAATTGAAAATTGTGAGTCAATGTTTAGTTTGTCATTAAGGTCGGTCGAAGCACTAACAATAAACATACACATAAAAGCCTTCAGTTAATTGAATGCATTACATAATACACATTACTCACAATACCTTCGTTACGTTTTTCCTTGTTTTTTTTATTTAGTTTTATTCGGGTTATCTGTGTGATTTGTTACTCACAACAGTCTCAGATGTAACCAGTTTTTGTTCTTGCATCGGTTTGTGTCATATGCTCCAAACTGTGTGACGAGTACCCACTGGTTGAGAAGGTTTGTTGCTCCTTGACGTTAGAGTCTATTTTCTCTACACTCCGTGGGCACTTCGAGAAGCGCAGCGATCGGACGCGCTCAGCACCAGCTCCGTTTGTCAAACGATCTTTTTGACGAAAACCACCAAGGTAGGCCCACTTTTGTTGACGTAGAGTTTTCCAACGAACTACAGCACGTATCGAGTAATTTTAGACCCAATCCGTCTGGAACTGTGCAAGTTACGACCGCATTTTGACCCGACCACGCCTAGGCCTAAAGCCGGCCGAGGAGCGTTGCTCCGCTCCGGCTGCCACGCCGGCCGCAATGGAGTCGGCAATGGAAATCGATGCTCCCAAGGACTCCAGGACCCCTTCCGTTGAGACGAAAAAGAGGAAGTTTCAAAGCGACGCCGAGGATTCCGTTTCACTGACCCCTGAAAGCGACGACAACGCAGGTGCAACGTCGCCGCCGCTTGCCTGCCAAGTGCTCTACTGCCACCGCCGAAAGACTTACCAAGGACAAATTCCTCGTGTTGATTTGTCCGCGAGGCTAGTATCCAATCACGGAAATCCCCAATCGTGTCCTTGGCAGCGCTCTAATTAAGCTCGCTCCGCACCCATCGCTTGGCAAGTACATGTCTACCAAGATGGACGCTCGCAGCAACCCGATCACGGTCACCGCATATAACAGCACGCATGCCGATCGGATTTGCCAACTTCACCAGACTTAGAGGGAGAACAACACGCCCTTCTAAATTGAAGCCCTGCACCTCCGACCCCGCGGTACGTCTCGTGGGGTTATTTGCGTCGACCCGGTGGGGACTAACGCACTGCTCAGGGATAATGTAGACTGCGAACGCGCCGCGGTCCACGACGTCAAACGGATGGGACGAAACAATTTCGCCATCGTCACCTTCGACACACCCCGACTACCCAAGACGGTGCGCTACTTCACGGAACTCTGCAGCGTGTCACCCTACGTTCCGGGAACGCTAGTGTGCTTTCATTGCCACAAAGATGTTCACCTCCAGAAACACTGCCCCAACGCCGCGGTTTGCAAGACATACGGTAGGCAACAACACGAAGGCGCCTGCGGAACCCCCGCTGCTTGCTGCACGCTCTGCGTGGCGAAGGGTCACCTAGCAACGGATCCTAAATGCCCAGAACGTGAACGCCGACCTCAGAAAAACAAAAGCCGCACGGAGCGCCGGTCACGTAGCCGATCGCGCCGGCGCACCGCCAACGCAGCTGCTGCGCCACTCCGTGAATCGTCTCCGACGCCGTTAGACCTCAGCACCGACTTTCCACCACTGTTCCCGGACGCGACTCTTACGCCGGTGTCTATGAAAGGATCGTACCGCAGTCCCGCGCACAAAGCGGTGAACTTCGCCTCGTCTTGCACTATAGTGCCACTGCAGCAGCTCTTGCACTATAGTGCCACTACAGCAATTGCGATATCCGGCAAGGCGAAGAGGTCCAAGAAGGTGTCCGCTTGCACCAAGCAAGAGATCCAAAAACTCACTACGCGAATCGGTGAGATTCAGCAACGACTGGAGGAATTATATCAACTCCAGAAAGAAAAAAAACAGGAGGAAGAGAGGGAGCACCAACAGCAGCTCCGCGAGAAGAGGCGTAGGCGTACGCTGACGAACCGCAAGCGGCGTTTATCCCAGTCACCTGCTCCACTCAGGCGTACCGAAAAACTACACCCGAGCCGGCGGAAGCCATCACGCTATCACAAATACGAGAAATGATTATCCAAACGCTCCGCAACCAGCTCCGGCGTCTCCTCGCGGAACACTTCAAACAACCAGAAACGACCTCCTCGGGAACTCCCCAAAAGAGCCATCATGGCCGCGCCAAGTAAATCAGTGCTCCTCCAATGGAACTTCCGTACCCTCGCGACCAACGCGAGTGAATTAATTGAGCGTTTAAGGACACTAAAGAACAAACCTCTCGCGCTCCTTCTCCAAGAAACGCGGGGAACCGCACCTGGCATAAACAGGTATAAAGGATATTTCCAACCTAGTATACTCCACCACCCTTCCGAAGGTCCGCCCACCATAGTGGCCCAGGCAGCGGTGTTTGTGCGAAAAGACATTCGTCACTGTCAGACAGACACCACAAGTTTCGGCACAGAGTACCAGGAAGTGGTGGCCGTGGGCATTTATCTCGTACGCGGCCGCGCGCTCCTTGTAGCCTCCGCTTACGTCCGTCCTGGTAGCGTTAGAAACCTAAGCGATAACTACCAATGGCTCAGTAGACTGCGCACTCTATATCCACTGGACGAGGTATTGGTGGGCGGCGACTTCAACGCCGCCAACACATCATGGGGCTACAGATGCATTTCCCCGCGCGGCCGGCACCTCGAGGAAGAAGCGAACGATGCGGACCTCTTCCTTATAAATGATCTCGACTACCCTACAAGATTAGGTCTCCATTCCGGACAGCGAAACACGACACCGGACTTGACCTGGGCTACG